TCTATGAAGTTCAGGAGCAGGCACAACTAGTCTATAATTATGGGCATGAGCTCAGCGGTTGCTTCTGGAACAGGGGGACTGATGGGGAAATAGCACCCAGGGCAATTTATGGGTACTTGGAAAGGTCAGTGGTTACGTGAGTATATGTATTTATAAAAAATTCTTTGGCCAGTACCCTTATGATCTGTGCCCTTTATGTACTTCACATTTAAGTTCACACCTCACAGAAAAAAGTGAGAGGGAAGTAAGTGCTCATACACTTCTCCTTACAGAATCTGTGTTACACTAGTGAGGAGTTTCCATAACAGTTAGACTGGGGGCAAAAATCCCCGCTGTTCTCACTGTAGCCCCCACATCCACTCCAGCCACTGCCCTGCATCTCTGTTCCCCGGTCCAGCACCTGCTCTCTGGAACACTTTGTTCCCTTGGCACCGGATTACCACCACTCCTGAGGTTCCTGCTTCCTCCCAGCTCCTCTCAGGGATGCTGCTGGTCCTTGCCCTGTTCCCCAAATGCGAGAGGCCGCACAGCCTGGTCTCTCTCTCTTTCTATCTCCTCAGACTGGATGGTTTCAGAAAAACTCAGGGCTTTAAATACCATCTCTATATGATCAGCTCCAAAATGCAGCATACTTGTAGTTGTTGATAAAATGATGGGACAACTAGACTGGCTTTAAAAAAAGAAAATGCAGGGAAAAAAGTGTGCTTCTACATGGGGTGGGGGAATAGAAGAAACAAGACAAGCAAAATGTAGCTGACTCAGTACTGGTCGATGGGGATGTGGTTGTGCATCATAATACCTTTGTGTATGTTTTTTAAAAAGTCAGCAAAAATTCTCTATCTATAAATCCTGGCTTCTCCCTGAAACTGTGACCACTTATCTGATGTTCAATGTACATCTCAAAGTAAAGAAGTTCAAAGCTTAAAAAAAAACATTCAAAGCTTGTCAATTTCCCATCAAGACTACTCCTCCCCATCTTTGTAAAAAGTATCACTTTTCATCTAGTTAGTCAGTTCCAAAACCTTTAGGATGACTTGTAAGTCATCCCTGATTCATGCTTCCTCTCACACAACCCTCTTCCTGAGTCACCATCATCTCTTGCCCAGGCAGGGACATCAGCTGCCTCATCTCCTGTTTCCACCCCTGCCCAGCTGCAGGCCATTCTCCTCAAGGCAGCCGACATTGTTTCCATCCACCATAACTTTTTTCCCACATAGATAATTGTCACACGGTTCAAAAATACGAAAATCTTCACAAGTTTCCCTCACAGCTCTGGTTCACATCTGTCATAACCCTCACCTCCACAGGCAACCACCGTTAATTAATATTTGGTGTTGCTAGAGAAATCTTTACGCCACATCCATCACGACAGGCTGGTGCTCACTCCAACGGCTTCCTGTTACACTTGGAAGGTAATTCCAAAGTCCCTACCATGGCCTGCAAGGTTCTATACAACCTAGTTTCTCTCTGTATCTCCACCCCAAAACGACTCCGCCTCCCTTCCCCTTGCTGCTCCAGCCGCTCTGGTCACCCCGACAATCCTGAAATAGCCAGGTGCACTCCACCTCCTGGGGTCTTTCCAATTCCTGTTCTTCATCATCTTCATATGGCTAATGTCCTTACCTTCTGCTCCAGTGTCACCTCTTCAGAGCAGCCTTCCCTGACCAACTGCCATTCTGTGGCTGCTGTCGCTCTCCATTCCTTTATTCTGATTTTCTTTTCTTCCAAGCCACTTTTCCCTATCAGCACCATCTACCACACTGGACTGCCTGCTCCCAGAGGGCAGGCGCTTTGTCCTACTCACTATAGTACCTCCAGCCTACAGCCACGCCTGGCAGATGACTGGAGTTCCACAACTCATTCACTATACTAATGCATGAAGTGAACAGAGAAATTAATTAAGAGATGAATTGATCATTTGGCAATCTCTCTCAAGATTCCCAAAGCATGTATCCTTTGAGGCAGGAGACAGCAAAGGAAGAACTCTGAGACTGTCCTGCTGTTACCGGCCAGCATCTAGCATCCTGGTTGCCAAGAAACACCTTTTAGTGGTAGAATGAATAGCAAACCAAGGCAGGGAGGAGAGAGACATGTCTCACCCACTAACTCAGCAGCCTGAGCCTGGTCCGATAATATTGCCAGGTGTTCCAAAATCACAGGAAACACCATGCTGTTGCAGGAACAGGGAAGTCCTTGAAATTCTATGCATCCTTTCCACTATCTGGGAAGGAAAGAAAGCCTTTGAAACTGTTTCACCCCAAGGCCTGAAAGGCAGGAGAGGGCCCACGGTACCCAAAGAAGCCCATGAAGCAATTCTGGTTAACTGTCTACCTCTGGACACTATCGGTTTTATAAGAGAGTCCCTAATGCTTAAAGAGCAAACTCATAAATAATGCTAGGTAAATACCCCAACTTTAACTGCATTCTGTCATATATCTGTTTTACAACAAGATGAACAAATGGAGTTTGGAGCAAGATAAGGATTCAGGCTAACAGATCCCCCACACACACCTAAGTTGGGTGGTCATGTTCCCCTGGGAAAGCCGGCACCACATTTACCAGCCAATCAATATGTAACTTTTACTCCCATCCTACCTCAGAACAAAGTCCTTTGAACAAAGGACTCCACCTTTGGCTCTCTGGCCTCCAAGCCTCAGGCCACTTGGCCTTCAGCCAACCTTACTTTCAATGCCCTGCTTTGCCCTGAACCTGCCTTTCACACCCACCCCCACCTTAACTAGGCCCATTCTCTTCCATGGGAACAAATCACTAATAAACCCTGATTGCATGTTAATATATTTGCTGATCTGTAATCCTTCACATGCATCAGCAAGAAGCAGCAGGTCTCTCCCGTTAACACTCTGACCTAGCAGTTCTACTTCAAACAATATAGTCTACTGATGTTATCACATATATGCAATCAGATGTACAAGGACATACATTGCAGCTAACATTTCTAAGAGCAAAAGTTCAGAATACAAGTACTCTTTGGGTGCTTGACTGATTCACCACGAGGCATGGTGCTAGATATGCCTCGGGCATATCAAGGGACAGAGAAAACATGGGCTTGCCTTCAAGTAAGACAGGCTTGCTGCCTCCTGGCTACACGCCATTCAGTAAGGTCCTTCTCTTTCAGACTCATTTTCTGCATCCGTTAGACAAGGGACGGAGGCGGGATGAATGATGTATATAAAGTAGAGCCTGGTACACAGTGGGACCATGGTCAATGCCAGGCTCCTTAATTTCCCTTAAGTCATCTCCACCTCTGAGGGTTGCACAGATGTGAAAGGGGCATGGAGGGTGAGCTGGGGTTGAGAAGTTCAGGTAAGAAAAACAGGTATGACCTGAGATGAAGATGCTAAACAGGGACGCTGACAGACATAGTACAAAAATGGCCTGTCGGGTGTTTCTCCCCTGAACACCCACAAACAGAAAAGTGTGTCATCTCCTGAGTGCTTCATCAGGGTGGGCATAAATGAGAACCCATAAACAACAGGGCTCTCAACTCAGCCGTGTGATGGGTGTCTTCATCCAGCCCATAGCTGCCTGGAGAAATGGTCCCACCAGGCACCAGTGCTGAGAAAATGGCAGCAGAAATGAGGCCTGGAAAGCACGTAGCTCAGAATCAACCACTATCACTATGGTTATCATCATAAATCACAAAATAAGGAAAACTAGTGTTACTATGCAACAGGCACTGTTCTGCACACTTTTGCCCATTTAACTCTGCCAATTACACCAGGTGTGCTGTGACCTCCATTGTACAAATGGAGACATAGAAGGCAGAGCAGTTTAAGGAACTTGGCCAAGGTCAACCGTCTTATATGCGAACCCAGGGTCAAGCTTTTACAATGCTTTGCAATAATACCTCCAGAAGGAAAGTGGGAACCGGTGGTTTAGAAATGGAATACCAGAAGACTAATGTTTATTGTGTACCTCATTGGCTGCTTGAATTTTGTCAGAATGTTAGTGCTCCCTGTTCAAATATGTTTTTAAAATCTTTTTAAAGTTTTTTTTTGAGAGAGGGGAAGAGAGGGAGAGAAACATCAATGTGTGGTTGCCTCTCACAAGACCCCCACTGGGGGCCTGGCTCGCAACCCAGGCATGTGTCCTGACTGGGAATCGAACCAGCAACCCTTTGGTTCGTAGCCCACGTTCAATCCACTGAGCCACACCAGCCGGGGCTGTTTTTTAAAAATTTTAAATAAGATTTCAAGTGAAAAATGGGGTTCCCACATTCACCTATCATATATAATACATATGAGTAAACCACACATATTTCTCTCTTTTCTTGAACAATCTTTCATTTCCACGGATAACCAACGGTCCTAGTCCAGTCGCCAAGTCCTTTGGACTGCGCCTGCGCTATGGTCCACGCTCTCCACAGTGTATTCCTCTTTGGCGCCCACAGGACTCCACCCACGGTCGTTTGAATTTTCGACCCTGGACTGGATCCTCTTCCACCGAAGCCTCCGAGAGATTTAATAAGTGGTCCTTCCCCCCGTCTGCGTTTCTCGGGCCTTCAGGACAAAAGCCTGACACTGGATTCACTTAGGGCCTGACCTGCCCATTCCTGCTGCCTCACCTCTCACCTGGGCAAAACTCTTTCGTGCAAGCCTGTCTGGATCTTCCCCTTTCCTAATCGACCTAACTTCAAGCCGTCTCCCTCCACACAACGGGAGCACCCTCTACTAGAGAACACGCCAGGGCAGATTCGTTCCCAGGTTCTCAGCATGTACTCCGTCCCGGACACCGAAATTCCTCCCTGCCGCCCCACCCTACCGCATCCGCCAAAACCTCTGAGGAGGCGGGACTCAAAGCTGAAATCTCCGGGGCCGCGCTCTGCCTTTTCCGCTCTTCCACTCCAGCCCCCACCAACGCGCACGCGCATTGGGGCGGAGCTGCAGCGCACCTGCCGCCTGTTCTCCGGGGTTCGCATGCGTGTTGAGGCAAACCACCTCCCAACGACGCATGCTCAGTTGGGCGCTTACGCTCGCGGGATCTGAGCTCAGTTTGGCCTCCTCCTCTTCCACCTTTTCGCCGGCTTTCTGTGCTTCTGTGGGTGCCGCTTCCGGGATCCCGAGACCGGTTCTGAAGTGACTGGTGCTCGCTTTCTCTCCGTCTCCCCCACGCTCCTGGCCCCCCCAGACGCCATTTACTAGCGGGTGGCTGCTGGGGGAACCTCCCTACCCCCACCCCACCCCACCCCCGTTCCGAAGAGCGCGCGCCGCGTCTGTAGAACCAATCACCAGCCGCCTTAGGTAAGGGGGCCGCGTGCCCGCGCGAGGCACCCGCACCGGCTGGGTGCGCGTCTGGGCCCGCCCCCTTCCCGACCGTTAGACAGCGGCTCGGACGCCCGCGGGGGTGCGGAATTGAGTGAAGAGCCAGGGGCAGCACGTTGAATGCCGGCTTGGCAGGAGTGGGGTGGGGAGGAGGTATTAACTTGCAAACAGGAACTTCGGTTCTGGGAGATCCTATCAGAGGGCCTGTAAACTGGTTATAAGGTCTGCGAAGGTTCTTTCAAGAACATGTCAAGAAAGACTGAAATTGTGGGAGTGCCCTCTCAGAGGGCCTGCACACAGACCCGATACCTTCAGACACTGGTTGTAGGGGGCTCCTCATAGGACGCCGGTGAAGAGATGTGTGCAGGCGGGAAGGGCCCTGGATGGTAAAGACTCATCGGTTCTAGGGGAGGCCTCACCTAGGAGCCTGGGAATATGTTTAAGTGCCAGAGAGTCCTTAGAAAAGTGTATCATTTCCCGAGTGCTTCATCAGGGTGGGCATAAACGAGGAGTTAGGAACTGGGAGTCTCCCCCAATGATGCGCAGATTGACACTTAGCATCTGGAAGGTCCCCAGAAGGGGTGTGCGAAGAGATGCATGAGGACTGAGGAGGCCCCTCCAAAGAAGTGTGTAATTAGACTCAATTTCTGGGAGGTCACCGTAAGAATCCTGTCAGTAGACACTTAGGCTGGCTTTATACGTTTGGGGAGAATCCCCAGAGGAGCTTGGAAACAACACTGAGGGTAAACAGATTGCATGTAGGTGGACTCATTTGGGGGAACTCCCCGTAGGGGCTGTTAAGTAGACTCAAATACTGTGGAGGTTTCCAGAATAACAAGCAAATGCACACTTGTTTGCGTGGGAAGGGGGCCCTCCTAGATAGGTAAACAAACAGTTTATAGTGCTGGGACAGAGTCATCACTGACACCGGAAAACAGACATTTAGGCACTGCAGAGGTCTCCAGAATAATGTGTAAGCAGACACTTAATTGCAAGGGAGGAAGTAGGGAGACCCAAGTTCTGAGGACAATCTCTCTCTGAGATTGTAAACAGTCATTTAAGTGCCAAATGAATCATTTTCAAAAACACTTGTAAACAGGCTTTTTCCCCCTGTTTGTGGCCGGGGAAGGGGTCACACAGCAGTGAGAGAGGAGCTGGATAAGCCCCTACCTGGTCAGCCAACTTAACTCCTGCGTCTTGTAAGCAGATACTTCAGTTCTAGAAAGTTTCTCACAGGGACCTGTTTAATGTCCCTTTTTACTGGGATAGGGTTGGAGGGGACTCATCCAATGATTTAACGGGCACTTGCCAGCTAAGCAAGAGTCAGTAAACTTTCTGTAAGGGGCTATACTGACTCTGTCTCAGCTACTCATCTCTGCTATTGAATCACGAAGGCTTCCACAGACAAGCTGTAAATTGGTGGCTGTGTTCCAATAAAACTTTATTTACAAAAACAGAAGGCAGACCAGATTTGGTCCATAGGCTGCTATGTGCCACAGTGACCCTAAGCAGTGGCAGACGGCCTTATAGCTTGTAAACAGGGAAGTACTCAGAGACTTCCCTAGAACATGTGTGAACACCTGGAGAAAGTCCCTAGGTACCTACTTGTAAACAGATGCTTAAATGGTAGGGAGTGGTTCATGTAGGTATGGTATATTTATGATGTGAACACTGGTGAGACCTTGGAGTGGGATGGATGATGAACCACCAGCAATGGAAGGTGAACAGGCCCTTGAATGCTGGAGCCCTGTCCCCACACATGCAGGTCATGGTTAACCAAAAGAGTAGCTGTCTCACTGAGGCTCACGTTACTGATTTGTAAGGTAATGCCTTTCAGCATTTTGGGAAGGAAGATGTCTCATTTTCATGTGACCCTGCCCCTGTGAATTATATTTATGTTGGGACAAAATGATTAATATTTGGGGATAGTTTTGGTTACAAGTAGGAGAAGTGTATCTGTTTCTCACTGAATCTTGAGGTAGGCAGTCAAGGTTAATGGGAACCTCAAACCTTTTATCTTGTTCTGCCATGCCTTTCTTCTACTAACTTGCCTCACAGCCCAAATTGGCTGCTTGAGCTCCAGCCTACACACCCACATTCCTTCCAGCCAAGAGGAGGAAGGAACAAAGGGCGTGGGCCAACGTCTATGGAGGAAAGTTATGGAAAACTGCCAGAACACACTTCAGGAGTCATCATTGACTAGAAAGAACTTAGTCATATGGACATACCTAACTGCAAACTAGGCTGAACAGTGTATTTTCGATAGTCATGTACCCAGCTTACCAGAGGGATTGATTGATAGATTTTGGAAGAAGTGCAGAATGAATATTGGGAGCCAGTTGGCAGTCACTGCCACAGCTACAGAGCTCTCTTGAATGGACGTGTCTTATTGTCTGGGGTTAACCAAGTGGTTGGGGGAAGACTTTCTTTACCCTAAAATCCAGCTCTTTGTCTCTGTAGGCAACCATGTCTGAGTCTGGTCACAGTCAGCCTGGGCTCTACGGTATAGAGAGGCGGCGACGGTGGAAGGAGCCTGGCCCTGGAGGCCCTCAGAATCTCTCTGGGCCTGGCGGTCGGGAGAGGGATTACATTGCACCATGGGAAAGAGAGAGACGGGTGAGTTTCTAGTCCCAAGGACAACATTTCTGTATCCACTCATTCCACTGGTGTTTGTTGAGCACCTGCCATGTGCCAGGCACTAATCTAGATGCTGTAGATATATCTGTGAACAAAACCAACTGCCTTCTTGGAGTAAGACGGTTAGAGAATGATAAGGGGAGCTATGTGAGATGAGGTGGTCAGAGAAGGCTTCTCTGAAGAGGTGACTTTTGAGCAGAGACCTGAATGAGGTGAGGGAACAAGCAATGACAAAAATCTGAATGAAGAGAATTCTAGACAGAACAGCAAATGAAAAGACCCTGAGGCTTCTATCTGGTATGTGCAAGCCTGAGGCCAGTGTGGCTATAGGGGATGAAGATGGAGAAAGTGACAGAAGGATGAGGTCAGAGGTCACTGGGGCCACATCACATAGGACCTGGTGGGCTATGGAAAGAACTTTGGATTTCACTGAATGAAATTGGCACTGGAGAGTTTGAGTTGAGAGGTGCCATAAGCTCACCCATTTTAAAGAGTTGTGTAACAGAACAAATGTTTCTATTTATTGAGCTGTGCGCAGTGTACTTTGGGTCTTCCTGAACCCTTATAGCCTATGATAGATGGAATTTTCACTGAGGAGGTAGATGAGGCTCAGGGAAAGGGACTTAGCCAAAGTCATAGTAAGCTTTGGGGCCAAGACTCGAACCCAGGTCCAGCTGAACCTTCAGCACAGCACCATCTGCCTGCTGTAGCCCGTGTCCTGGTCTGGGAATCAGAGCCTTGGAGTGGGCCCAGCTCCTGTCTTGTTCTCCTCCTGTGTGCAGGTGACTTACTGCCAGAATCTGCCCCCTGGTTCTTTCTCCAGGGTCCTGTCCACCTCTGAGAGCTGTTTGGTGGGGTGGAAGACCGTAACCATTGGGAGCAGTATCTGAGTCATAAGACTGCAAAAATGAAGAGTAATTTATTCATTGGGAACTGGGGGGTTGCTTGTTCTCCCCTTGGGTCTAACATAGTCTCTTTTCCTCCCACACACATCTTCCTGCAAAATGTTACCATCTCCCTATACCTTCAGCTTCAGTTCCTGAACTCCCAATTCTTGACTTTGTCTCGGACTTGGCTACTGAGCCTTGGCAGCCTCCTAACTGGCCAGTGGACTCCTTACATCCTTCATGTCCCCTGCTGACCTCAGCATCTTCTGCCATTTCTCCTCCCAGTATCAATGACAACCCATAGGCCTCTTTCTGGACATCTCCCTCCCATCCCCCACCCCACGCCAGTCAGACACCAGTGCTACAATTGTGCCTCCTGAATTATCTCCCATCCATCATCTTTTCCCCGCCCTCACAGCCTCAGGCCCAGGTGTCTTCCACTCCTCCTTGGACCTTCTTGCCTGTCTCCCTCCCTGGCCTCCTGAAAGCCCACAGCCATTCCTCCAACAGTTTGCCCGCAACTGTTCTTTCCAAAACACTTTCATATTACCCTTTTATTTTTTCTTCACCAGAGGGCAGTGAAGTGAGCAGGATTAAAATAAGAATCTTCAGTATATGGGAGAAGAAACAGACCCAGTGAGGGGCCAGGACCCTCCCAATGTTAATCAAGAAACCAAAGAAAGGACAGGACTCAAACTCACACCTCCCCATTCTCGAGCAGATTGGGGGTGAGTGAGAAGAGGCAGATGTGGAATTCAGTCCATGGGCTTGGCCAGCACAAGAGCAGGGTTGAGGCAGAGAGGGTCAGAACAGCAGGCGCTGCCCTGGCTGGTGTGGCTCAATGGATTGAGTGCCAGCCCGCGAACCAAAGGATCTCTGGTTTGATTCCCAGTCAGGGCATGTAACTGGGTTATAGGCCAGACCCCCAGTAGGGGGGACTGGAGAGACAACCACACATTGATGTTTCTCTCCTCTTTCTCCTTTACCCTCTCTAAAAATAAAATAAATAAATGAAATCTTTAAAAAAAAAGCAGGCGCTACCAGCAGCTCTCAGACAGTGAGCACCTGCCATGTCTCAGGTGCTACATGGACAGTTATGAGTTCTGTTTTCTTTCAGACTCATAATAGTCCTGTGACGAAGGAATTCCCATCCCCACTCGACAGATGAGGAAACAGGCGTTAGGTTAGTTGCTTATCCAAATTCACACAGCCAGCAAGCGGCAGGGCCAGGTCTGAACCAAGATCTGTCTAGCTCCAGGGTCCTTGCTCCTTCCTCCTGGGCTTGTCTAGCGGAAGCAGCTGGAGGGAGCTGTTGACAGCATGGTTCTGGAGCCAGGCTCTCTGGGTTCAAATTCTGGCTCCATTGCTTATTGTCTGTGTGACCTGGGGTTGGCTAGTTAACCTCTCTGTGCCTCGATTGCTTCATTTGTAAAGTGGAGGTAATAGTTGTATCTGTCTCACAGAGTTGTTGGTAGGATTGAGGGAGTTCATATGTGAGGGCCCTTAGTGCCTGGCACATACAGGTTTTCAGAGGAGTTTCCAGGAGAGCCCTTGGAATAACTGCCCTCCCTCACCACAGGATGGCAGCGAAGAGACAGGCGCATCTGTCATGCAGAAAACCCCCATCATCCTCTCAAAACCTCCAGCAGAGCGGGTGAGCAGGGAAAATGTTGGGAAGGGGAGGCTGGGAGCAATTATAGGGCAAGGATCTCTCCCACTGACTGGAATCTTCTCACTCCCACAGTCAAAGCAGCCACCACCTCCAACGGCCCCTGCTGCCCCACCTGCCCCAGCCCCTCTTGAGAAGCCCATTGTCCTCATGAAACCACGGGAGGAGGGGAAAGGGCCTGCAGCCCCAACAAATGCCTCAACGCCCGAGGGCACCACCCCACCGCCCCCTGCAGCCCCTGTGCCACCCAAGGGGGAGAAGGAGGGCCAGAGGCCCACACAGCCTGTGTACCAGATCCAGAACCGGGGCATGGGCACTGCCGCACCAGCTGTCATGGATCGTGAGTTGGGGTCGAATGGGGTCTGTTTGGCAGCCAGAATCTCCACACACAGACCGGCCCTCACCAAATCCTCTGTCTCCTGCTTTGTGTTTCCAGCCGTGGTGGGCCAGGCCAAACTGCTGCCTCCAGAGCGCATGAAGCACAGCATCAAGCTGGTGGACGACCAGATGAACTGGTGTGACAGTGCCATTGAGGTACTAGGGGGAGGGTGTCCCCCTACTTGAGCTTCCCCGGGGTCCCACACCCTCGCCTCCTCCAGCCACATGGTGGGCAGCACCAGCCCGGACAGCTTTCAGACAGTTGCCACAGTGGGAGGGAGCGGATCCGAAAGCTCTCAATGGCCAGGCCTGAATTTCAGTAGCTCCACTAGCTCAGCTGCACTGGTTGGTAAAGTACTGACCCACCTTGATAGTGGTTGGCTGAGAGGTGCCCCGGGGGTGTCCTGCACCATCCCACAGCAGGGTGGCCTCCTGGACCCTGCTTCAGTCCCCCTCCGAACTGGTGGAAGCCCGTGTGGTACCAATGTTAACTGGTTTAAGTATCGTTCCCCTTAGGTTCCCCTTCCTCCCAACAACCTCTGCTCTCGTTCAGACTGCCATTCCTGGACTGACATGCCTGCCTCCAGTCTGCTGGTCTTCATTTCCCCCCTTCTGCCACCCTTCCCACCCCCAGACCTATCAGATCAGGCTCCTGCTCAGCTCACCCCGGTGTGTCCCCTCCTTCCCCAACAGCTTAGATGTTAGGCCAGTGTGCCAGTCCCAGCTATCACCTGACCCTGCTGCCTCTGTGTGTCCTCTCTCACACTGATGTCACCTGGGGAGGTTTTGTTGTTTGTTTTTAAAGACAGCCAGTGCCCAAACCCTTCCCTTCAGCACAGTCACGCAGAACTCTCTGCAGTGGTGCAAAGGTTCCGTGTTTGTGTTATCTAGTGTGATGGCTGTATCCTCCTACGTGGCTGTTGGGCACTTACCCACATATCGCAAAATGTGGATTGGATTTTTTATTTTGTTTAATTTTAATTTAAATAGCCACGTGTGGCCAGTGTCTGCCTTATTGAACAGGGCTAGCCCCAGCTTTGCTGCTTTCCTGTGTCTAGAGTTGGGCCCAGGATTCGCTGCTTTTTTTTTTTTTTCTCTCCTTTTTTTTAAGCTCTCCAGGTGATTCTAAGGAGCGCTAGCCACAGTTGAGGTTGAGGACATATAGTTCTCATGTAACATCCTTGATAGGTTCCTGGAAACTGCGACTTTAAGCAAAACAATGTATAAGGAAACTAATTTCACTTTAGGCTAATTGATATAAACAAGAGTTAAGTTCCTATAGCTTATTTCTGGTCACAGAAGCATCGCCAAACTTTTAAATAAAGACCCCAAACACTTCTAATATTAAACACTGAAATAAAACATTTTCATTAATTAATATTAATGTTAAACACTGAAGTAAAATGTTTTCTTCTTAAGAAAGAAAGTCAAAGATTAATGAAAACAAGTCAGATGATTATTTTTCCAACCCGCTTATTCCAGCTCAGGGTCACATCACAGGTGAGCCTGTTCCTGCGGCTCAGGGTGCAAAGTGCAAACCCACCCCAGACAGGAGCCCTGCCATCAAAGGGCCACTCATACCCACACCACTCTCACTCAGACTGGGACACGCCAGTAGGCACGCCAGTTCACCTAATGTGCGCATCCTTGGGATGTAGGGAGGAATCCAGAGTCCCGGGAGAAAACCCACACAGACAGTGACCCCGGCTGGGAATTGATTTTTTTCTTTCCTTACTACCCTCCTAACAAAAGGATGCTTTTCAAGGACCTACTGTATTCCTTTTCCTTGAGTCATGTCTCTTGTGCCCCCTGGTGGTGAAAGTCAGCAGAGTCAGTGGCCCAGAGGTGGAGGCCTCAGGAATTTCCAGGACCTAACCCCACGGAGAGAGCCAGGATGGGCTGATCTCCTGCTCCTGCACGCTTTCTCACGCCTCCCCCAAGTTTTCGCAACCTGACTGAGCAGAGAGCCTCCCAGGAGTTACCAAGTCCTGTTTTCTTCGACTTGTCCTTGAATTCCTGTGCCTCCCCCTTCTCTTCCCAAAGGCCAAGCTCCCTTTTTCCCCAGTGTTCCAGCCACACTGATTCTTATTAGCCTCTTGACTATATCAGGCTCTTTTCTACTTTGGAACCCTCACAGCTGCTGTTTTGGTGTACCCCAAATAGTCCAGTACCACCCCCCACCCCCCACCACACACACACACACACACACACACACACACACCCCTGGCAAGAATTTTTTCTTCATATCTGACAAGGCAGGCGGGCAAGCCACTGAGGTCTGGGGCCCCCTCATCTCATTCCCACTCAAGCAACTCATGGGTTCCTGAGGGCCGCATTCCTGCATTCTCCCACAGTATTTGTTGGATCAGACCGATGTGTTGGTGGTTGGTGTCCTGGGCCTTCAGGGGACAGGCAAGTCCATGATCATGTCATTGTTGTCAGCCAACACTCCTGAGGAGGATCAGAGGTGAGAGGGCATCAGGTAGGGGTGTGGGGGGCCAGGAGGAAGGTGGGCACCCACCTGAGACACAGGAGGGTGGGCCTGGGTGTTGTGAGTGGTATAGCTAAAGGTCTTTGAGGAGTTGCTTCCCCTCCCCTGGCCTCAATATCTTCATCAGATGAGAACGAACAGGGGCTGGACTAAATTTTTGTGTAGCTCCAAGGTAACCAGTCCTGTTCCTCCCTTCCTGCCTTGCCCCGGGAAATGGTGCAGAGCCCAGCCAGGACCTAGGGTGAAGTTCTCATTTGTCTTTGGATTGAGGCCCACTTTAGTCTCAGCCCAGCTACTCACCAGCTTTTTGACCTTGGGCAGGTCACGTCACCTTCCAGCATGTCACTTCCTCATCTGTAAAGTGGGTTTTGGGGGGATGAAGTAAGATCAGGAAGCCAAAAGGTAACGAGAGCCTGGCCTGGAGCAAGTGCTCACCGATGTGGCTGATACCGCTGGGAAATAGAACGGAGAGGTCTGGATGGCAGGCGTGGGTTCCAGACCAGCCTCAGTGCTGTGTTCTTGAGTAAGGATGGGTGTGATCACGAGGATAAAGGATGAAGTCCCAGGAGGGGACATGGTGGACGAGGGAGCTTAAGAACAAGGGTCCGAAACTAAGAGAAGGAAAGGGGAAAGGCAGGGAGTAGGGGGATACACAGTCTGATTAAGGAAGACTCAGAATGGGGGAGGAGAAGGGGTAGTAGCCACTTGGGGTTATCTCAAAAATAGTTTTGTTTCTTTTTTTTAATAAAGCAGGTGATATTAGCTTGCACTCCACAGATGGGCGTCAGGGGGTCCATGACAACACCCTAACAGTAAATGCAGAATTTTATACACATCTGCGGTCAGGGGTTTCTTCTAGGGAAAGAGTCCATAGCTTCCACCAGTTCTCAGTGCAGCTGATGCAGATGCAGAACAGGTTACGGACCACTGTGGTGAGTGTGATCCGCTAGAACCCAAGCTGGGAGGCTCCTCTGCCCCCCAGTCGGCCTCGTCCCCTCTCAAGGCTTCAGCAGTGGAGGAGGTAGTAAACTAAATAAATATGATATTGGGCATGTTAGAAGATGGTGACAAAATGGGAAAGGATTATAGGGAGGCATTGTAAGGGCTGGGTTAGTTTCATGTTGGGTGGTTAGGGAAGGCTTCACTGAGGGGGCATTTGAGGGAAAGCAGGCTTGGAGGAGGAAAAGCATTCTAGTCGGAGGGACAGCAGTTGTGAACCGCTGAGTTGGGAGAGTGCCCAACATGTGTGCAGACACGTGGATGCCTCGGGGTGGAGCGGAGTGAGCAAGGGGGGGATTCGGACATCAGGTCAGGGAGACATGGGAGGCCCCGGAGTGCTGGGCTTGTCTTTCGTCATCCATTCTTCCCACCTGACAGCCCTGGCCACACGGCAGTGAGGGAGAGCTCTCCAGAACCCAGATCCTGTCCTGTCACTCTACTCAGATCTCTTCAGGAGCTTGCTCACAGGCCGAAGCCCCAACTCCTCACCGTGCCCCTCCAGGGCCTCTTCTCGCTCCCAGCCCCCTTCGTCCTCTGCTCTGACCCTTACACAAGCCTCCTGCCCCCTGCCCGGACTAGTCTTTGCTCCCATCGTGCATCCCTCCCACCTCCCCCTTTAAGTTAATTAACTTGTTTAATTGGCCCCCCTTTTCTCTCTCACCCTCAGCAGCAGCATTTGTCTGTTAGGGCAATTGTTCCCCGCTCCATGGACAAACTCATTCCCACTCACGGCTCTGCACATCTCTCCCCAACGCCTGTAGTTACTGATCTCTGTTGGTTTGTAAGCTAGACCAGAAGCTACATGGAAGCAGAGACTTTGTCTTTCTTGTTCACTGCTACATCCTGGCACATAGTAGGTCCTCAGTATGGTGTTTTGGGAGGATACCTGCTCTAGGCCAGAAAACATACTAAGCATCTCAGGGAGGTGGCAGTTACCCTTTGAGAGGTACCATATTTTGCAATGTATAATGCACAGTTCTTTTGCCCAAATTTTTGACGGAAAAATAAGGATGTGCATTATACATGGCTATAATTACATACCACGGGTACGATGATACCGAGTGTAGTGTGCATGAAGATACCGAGTGGGTGTGCACTATACACAGAAGTGCATTGTGCTTGGCAAAATATGATAGATACTATTATCTTGATTTTACATGTTGAAAGAGACAAAATTGCTTTGTCTATGTCACACAGTGGCCAGGTTGAGCCTCAGCAGTTTAGGGCCAAGCCCAGCTCTGTCAGCTCTGCTGTCGTATCCCAAGCACCCAGCACAGATAGACATGAGAGAGGCTCGCCTGACGGGGGTGGGCTGGGAACTGAGACACCAAACGGCCTCCCCCTGTGGAGACTTGCCGGCCTGTTTCCGGGGCCTGGCAGAGAGCAGGCACACTTGGTAGTTACTGGCTGACAATTGTAAGTCACTGTTATCAGACGCTCTTCTAAGAGCTGTGCATGTATTAGCCTCCCAGTAACCCTATAAGGTTTGACACTGTTGTGGTCCCCACTTCACAGATGAGGAAACCAGGAAAAAGATCAAGGAAGCTGCTGCAGCCACACAGGCAGGAAGAGGCAGAGCTGGGGTGTGAATCCCAGCAGTCAGGCCCAGTCTCTGCTCTTCAGCACCTAAGTTTACTGACTTCATTAAGTGAATTACCCAGTCTACTGTGGGTAGGGGTGGAGTCCCGTGGTGTAAAATGCAGCTCCGTTGGCCTGCTTCCCTCCTCCCCAGCAGCAGGGGCCATGGGGGGAAGGCTTCATGGGCAGGCAGGGAGCTGTGTGGCACTGGAAGTGTCAGTGGCTGAGAACGAGGCTGTAACTCTCCCCACTGCTCCTCCACAGGGCCTACGTTTTCCGGGCCCAGAGCGCCGAAATGAAGGAACGAGGGGGCAACCAGACCAGTGGCATCGACTTCTTTATTACCCAGGAGCGGATTGTTTTCCTGGACACGCAGGTGCCAACCTCCACCTGCCACCGCCTCCTGCAGCGTGTGGCATTCAGCTCCATACCAAAAGCTTTTTAAGCCCGCACCCTGCTTGGTCTGCATGTGGCTCCAGCCAGGCCAGGGGCATGCTGGGTGCCTTTGGGCAAGTTCTGTGGTTTTTGGCCCTTAGTCTCTTCCTGTCAGATTTTTGCCCTGTCTCTTCCTTTTCATGTGCACACAGTAGCCTAAAGAATCTTCTAGCACAGCAGTTAAGAGTGTGGGCCCTGGAATCAATCTGTGTCCAGGTTCTGCCTTTAAATCTTACCCACTGGGTGACTTGGAGTGAATGTGCCCCTCCCCCAAACCTCAGTTTCCTGTTCTGTAAATGGGGACGGTAAGTATACTCGGCCTCATAGGGTTGTGGCAAGCATTGGGTGGAGCCATGAAGCACAGTGCTGGGCACAGGACCTGCCACGGGCTGAGTGTTTGGGCGAATGACTGCCTTTGGTAGTGACTTGTCATGCATGTGACAGGCAGCTTTCCTTAGCTCCCTCTTTGCTCTTACGCAGAGTTCCTGCTCCTTAGCCTGGCATTCAGGGCTTATGTGACTTCCTCCTCCACACTCTTCTAACCTCCCCTCTGGTGTAGCCCTGAACCCTGCCACACACAGCACAGGCCCCACCAGGGTCTCTGTCCCCTGTGAGCTTTCCACATCCTGTTCCCTTTCCCTGAAACGGGGGTCTTCGTGAAATTTCAGTGAGTTGACACAAGTCCAGTGCACTGGATGCACCCACCACATGCAGTGGATACTCTATACCCTTAGCTGTCACTGCCATCACCATCAGTGCTGGCTCTGCCCAGGCCATTTCACTTGGCTAATGCCTTCTCCCTGAAGATTCTGCTGGGGTGTGGCCTCCTCTTGGAAGCTTCCTCTGAGCATCTGCTCATGCCCATGTGCACCTCTCACTGCAGCTTGGGGTCTGTCAGTCTGATTCGTGTGTGGTATCCCCCCGCCCCACCCCCTGGAGCTCTTCTGTAGGGGGCCCTGTGTCACAGGTGGTGCTCAGTTTGGGAATTGGTGGCAAATGTCGCCTGACACCTGTGGGCCAGGCTCTGTGCATGGACCGCGGGGACCTAGGAGGGAACTGGACTGTGTGCCAGCTGGGTCAGAGGCCGTGGCGGGCAGAATGGAAGTTCAACAAACAACACAAAATAAACACTCGGTGTTTGGGGTTTAGAAAGTGAGCAGTTGGAAAAGCCTTTTTCTTAATTCCGCTCACTGCAGTAAGAAGGCCACAGAGCAGCAAGCTGATTGAGCTCTTACAGGTTTTTAATGGAATGTTTCTCTAAGAAAAGTCTGATGAGCTCACCACTGATTCTTTTACACCCACTGGTACACTTCTTAAATCCTCACCAATCTCACACTAATCGTTTTTTGACCTAAGTAATAATGTTAGCAAAGTTATGAAGGCATTTGAGACAACTAACAGCGAAGGGTCTTGCAGGGACATGACTCATACGGGTAAATGTTAGGTCTGTTAGCACTAGCTCTGGCCTGTTTGGGCATGAGGCACCTGAGAGCTGGGGGAAGTGTGCCCGCTTTAAACTTGGCCCTCGCCTCTTGCTGACCAGCAGTGTGCTAATTAGAAGCTGCCTGCTTGTGTTTCTGACTGTATTTTGTCCCAAGAGAAGCGATGTATTTGCGTTCAATGTGTGGGACATGGGTAGCCATGACCCCTAGGATCCTGACCCCCACCCTCTTCTCTGACCCCTTTTCTCTTCCTCACCCCAGCCCATCCTGAGCCCCTCCATCTTGGACCACCTCATCAACAATGACCGCAAGCTGCCTCCAGAATACAACCTCCCCCACACCTACGTTGAGATGCAGGTGAGGGAGCCGAGCCAGGCCCGGGGGTGAGGCACTACCCTGCCTTGCTAGATCTGTGGTGGGGGGCTAGGTGTGGGTTGACCTTGTTTCTGCTTCATCAGAGCCCCGGCTGTCTGTCGGAAGAGGCCAGCACTGACAGCCAGACCTGGCTCTGCCCCTCAGAAAAGTCGTTAACACGCCCTCCCTCTCAGGCCTCAGTCTCTGCCTCTGAAAATGGGGGTGATGGTTCCTACTGTGCTCGATGGAGGGATGGCCCCTGAGGGAAGTGCCAGCACAGTCTGAGCACACAGTAGGTACTTAAAGGCTCTGAGGCTCTTACCCTGACATCCCCTCAGTCTGGGATCAGGGACGCCTCTCTGGGCAGAGGGGACCTTCAATTCTGTGGCCCTTCTCTCTTACCCCCCACCCCAGTCACTCCAGATTGCTGCCTTCCTCTTCACGGTCTGCCACGTGGTGATTGTCGTCCAGGACTGGTTTACGGACCTCAGTCTGTACAGGTGAGGGGCTGCAGGGGAGGGGGAGGCAGCCATGAGACGCAGGGTCCAGAGACCCAGCTGCTTGCCCAGGGCTCACTGGTTCCACACTGCAGCCCAAGGGATCCTTTTAAAATGCAAGTGGAGCCCTGGCTGGTGTTACTGAGTGGATTGAGCGCCAGCCTGCAAACCACAGGGCTGCCGGTTCAATTCCCAGTCAGGCACATGCCTGGGCTGTGGGCCAGGTCCCCAGTAGAGGGTGTGTGAGAGGCAACAACACTTTGGCGTTTTTCTCCCTTGCTTTTGCCCTCCCTTCCCCTCTTTCTAAAAGTAAATAAATAAAATCTTTAAAAATAAAAATTAAATTAAATACAAGTGCAGTGGGTCACCACCACTTAACCCTCCCTCAGTACGCACATGCACATTTACAACCCTTCGCTGACTACACATCACTCAGCAAAATCCAGTCGTCCCTGAGCCTGGCTTACAGGCCCCCCACGCCCCTGCCCCCCCCGCCCCGTGTTCCCAGTCACCTCACTGGCCCTCTCTCCTGCTGCTTGCCCTCCCTGCCTCCATGAAAGCCGTGGTGACCTCATGCTTGTTCCTCGTGCAGCTTAGGCCTTCCTCACCCCTCACCCCTCACCCTCACCCCTCAATCAGAAACACCCTCCCTGCAGATCTTCTCAGAACCCCTCCCTTGGGCCTTCCCTGACCTTCTCACTTAGGCCCCCCTGTTCCCCTTCCTCCTGCCCTGTTGTCTTCCCTTCATTGCACTTGTCGCTCCGACAGGCTAGTGTAGATCTCTCTGTGGTTTGTCTCTGGGGTTGCCAAGGGTTAGGCGGGGGAGGGATGACTAGGCAGACAGAGTCCCCAGCGCCTTGCTCAGTGCCTGGCCCAGGGAGATAATTGATGATAATTGATAATTGAAGTATGTTGAATGGATAGCAGAAAGAGCTGGCTTGTTCAGTCCTTAGAGTCTTGTCCCCCCCCGCAGATGTGTGTGCTGTCCCGTTGGCACCCTGCAGGCAGAAGAAGGGAGGGAGTCTGGGTCTGGCAGGAGTCCTGCCTGAAGCAGCTGGAAGTGCCCCAGACAGAACTGGCTCAGGACCTATGGCCACAAGGGTCCTCCTTGGCCTCGGGCCCCAGCAGGTAGCGGAAGGGAGGCCAGCAGCCTGGGCACAGGGCACAGGTGCCAGGACGGAAGGGGAGCTCTTGGGAGAGAGGAGCTGAGCTGAAGGAAGCGGATGTCTCCAGGATCGGGCGGCCCTGGGTTTGACACTCAGCTCCCCTTGGAAGTGGCTTCTTTTCCCACAGTTCCGCAAAGGCAAAACTGTTTCGGGTAGATTGAGTGAGTTAGAAGAATTTAAAGCATTCAGTATAGTGCCTGGTACATAGTGAGGAACCGATAAGTGGGAGCTTCCCATCTGTGTGAGTAACCCTGGGTGTGGCGTGGAGCTGTGGGCCTGGCCAGGTGTGAGGACAGACTTGCTGGGGAGCCAGTCACTGTGGCCAGATCTAAGCATCCTAGTTCTGAAACCTCCCTTCCTGTCACCATTGTTCGTGGGAATCCATCCGAGTGATAAATAATGTTGAGCATTTACGTATGTCATTCGCTATTCTGGGCACCGGGGAGGCGGGTCTGAAGAAGACAGATACAACAGGCTGTGTTCTTGCGGGGCTGTGGGCTCAGGTGTGGGCCAGCGGGAGAGCCTTGTTTTTAAGCAGAGTCTACCAGTGGGCACCCTGGAGTAGGTGAGCCCCTTAGAACTATGGAGATCATGTTTGTGTGTGTGTCTGTAGGAGGAAGATAACCATCATTTTGTCACACCCCATCATTCCTTACCTCTGGAAACAGTACTTACTTTTACGTGTTTGGAAAAACATTATCTAAAAGTAGCATAAACTGAAAACTTATGTCCACTCAAAATCCTGCACAGATGTTTCCAGCAGCTTTATTCATAATTGTCAGAATTTAGAGGTGAGCAAGATGGCCTTCAGTGCCGTCTTGGTGAGTGGCTAAAGAAATGGGTACTTCTGGACATGGTATATTATTAGGACTAAAAAGAAACGAGCTCTCAGTCTGTGAAAGATGTGAAAGAATTTTAAATGCATACCACTAAGTGAACGAAGGCCATGTGGAAAGGCTACACTGTATGATTCCAACTACATGATGTTCTGGAAAAGGTGACACTATGGAAACCGTATGAAGGTCCGGTTCCGGGCTTGGGGGTACGGGAGGGACGACTAGGTGGAGCCCCCAGGAGTTTTAGGGCAGCGGCATTGCTCTGCGTGATAATGCAGCAGTGTGTGCAGGTCATGTTTGTCAAAGCCCAGAGAGTAAACCGCACCGAGGGAACCATGGACTTGACCCGTGGACTTTGGGCTCTAATGACGTGTCAGGGTAGTTTTGTGAAATGTCGATAGCCAAGGAGGCTGAGAGTGGGGCAGAGGTTCATGGGAAAGGCCTGTACTTGCCACTCAGTTTTGTTGTGGACTTACACTGCTCTAAATAATGGTGTTTAAAATATCATCAACTCATAAAAAATGCATCCAGTTGATGTAAATCCGTGGATTTGTGTCTGGACTCCCTAAAATTTGTGAGAAATCTGGTGTGTATATGTGACATTTTTCAGGGTGTGGCCATAGCTTTCATCAGATTTGCAAAGGGAGTTCCTTCTCGCAGGCTGTGGGATGTGGGGTACCAGGGCCAGAGCATTGGCCAGCCTGTCCCCTCAAACCCCCAGGTTCCTGCAGACAGCGGAGATGGTGAAGCCCTCCACCCCGTCCCCCAGCCACGAGTCCAGCAGCTCGTCGGGCTCCGATGAGGGCACCGAGTACTACCCCCACCTGGGTGAGAGCTTCGCTGGGGCCCAGAGGGGTGGCTACGGGAAAGAAGGGCAAAACGAGGGACACAGGGAGAGTGGGGAGGTGGGAGGAGGGAGGTCAAAAAAATTAGCATCACCATCCTGTAAGGGACGCAGTCCCACCCTGGCCACTGAGGGGAAGCCCTCGAGCCTGGGTCTGGCTCCTTGAATGGAATGGGAGCCTCTTGGGGACAGGGCCCGAGCCCACCCGTTTCTGAGTCCCTGGCATCTCCGAGCCTGGGGCTCAGGGAGTGAATCTGGGCTTGACCCGAGTGGCCCACACACCGATGTTCCCGCTGTTGGGCTGAGATCCAGTTCATTTAGGGCACCCCAGGCAGGGTCCGCCTACCTCTCTGGCCTTGCCAAGCCCCTGGTGCCACTTTCTGAAATACCCCTAATCACATGGCCATCTTCCTCTCCTGTCTTTCCATCTTTGCGGGCAGACACCACACCTGACTCATCTCTGGGTTTCCAGCATCACTCAGGGCCTGGTGCTAAAGTGAAGTTACATGTCACATAAATATTTACAAGTGATCTGAACTCAGGGTGAGGGCAGATCTTCACGGTGAGGGGGGGCCAGTGCTCGTGGCCGAGCCTCACAGGGCCCCATATCCCCACCCCTGCCCCCCCGTTCCCAGTCTTCCTACAGAACAAAGCTCGCCGGGAGGACTTCTGTCCTCGAAAGCTGCGGCAGATGCACCTGATAATTGACCAGCTCATGGCGCACTCGCACCTGCGTTATAAGGGTGAGGGTCCCTGCATTGCCCCCAGGCTGGCCAGCCTCTCGGCCTAGATCCCCAGACTAGTCTCCTGATCCCAGCGTGACCACCTTACACGTCCCCCCGCCCTCTGCCCGCCCTGGCAGCGTGGTCCCTGCAGGCTCCCCGTTTCCCTCCTCCAGGTACTCTGTCCATGTTGCAGTGCAATGTCTTCCCTGGGCTGCCCCCCGACTTCCTGGACTCAGAGGTCAACTTGTTCCTCATGCCCTTCATGGACAGCGAAGTGGAGAGTGAAAACCCACCCAGGGCAGGTGCAGTTCCCCCTCAAGGGCATCGGCCACGGGCAGCCAGGGGCTTCCTTGGTCTGGAGGCAGACACAGGTCCACCTTGGTTAGGGGGAGACTCAGGCTGCCCTGGTCTGAGGTTGACAGGTTCCCACCCTGGTGTGAGGGGAGGCCGGCCTGTCCCTGAGGTGCTTGGACCCTTTCTCTGGGGCAGGTTTCAGAGTCCTGTAAGTACAGGAAAAGCTGGGCGGGGCTGAGCTCAGGTGCTCCTGGAAGGCCAGGAAGGCCAGGATGCCGGTTGACGGGGAGGAAGGCCCCTTATTCTCCCACCTTAACTTCCCAGGACCCGGCTCCAGCCCACTCTTCTCCCTGCTTCCCGGGTACCGTGGCCACCCCAGTTTCCAGTCCTTGGTGAACAAGCTCCGGAGCCAAGTGATGTCCATGGCCCGGCCACAGCTGTCACATACAATCCTCACTGAGAAGAACTGGTAAGAGCTCCAGGCAGAGAAGGGGTGAGTGAGAGGTACGCACCCCCACCCCCACCCCGACGATGCCCACGGAGGGTGTGCTCAGAGCCTCGCCATGTTCAGTTCCCTCTCCTGGTATGGTGATGGCTGCTGTCCTCTCGTAGGCGCCTCCTCCATGTCGGGTAGCCTATGCTTGTGTGTGTGTGGGGGTGGTGGTGTTTGCTTTTGGGGGGTGTGCGTTGGTTAAAGTTAAAATTAGGGTTAGGGTTTAGGGCTAGGTTTAGCAGTTAGATTAGAGTTAGGTCTAGAGGTGGCATTAGGGTTGTGGAGGATTTAGGGTTTGTGTTTAGGGTTATGTGTAGGGTTAGGGTATGGTGTTAGGTTTGGGGCTACAGTTAGGATTTAAAGTTTAGGGTTTAGGATAGGGTCAGGGTTAGAGGGTTAATGTTAGGTTTAGCGTTAAATGGTTGAGGTTAGTATTAGAGGGTTAAAGTAAGAGTTGGGGTTATAATTATAAGGTTGTGTTAGGGTTAGGTTTGTTTTATTTTTTTACTTAATTAAATGTAACGGGGTAACGCTGGGTAATAGCATTAGCTAAGGTGTAAGTGTATGATTCTACAACAGGTCATCTGTACCCATCTGTACCTTGCTTTGTGTGCTCGCCACCCAAAGTCCAGTCTCCCTCTGTCACCAGATACTTGACCCCTTTACCCCCTCCCCCCACCCTTCCCCTCTAGTCACTACCGGACTGTTGTTTGTGTCTGTGAGTTTGTGCATCTGTTGCTTTCTGTTTCATATACCACATTGTTGCGTGTGATTTTGAATTCTCCTAATTAGCCAGGGGGCTGCAGATTTTGTCACCGATTTTACTCGCGGGGAAACTCAGGCTCAGAGAGAAGTGTGAGATAGTGGGGTCACACACCTGTGGTTAGGTGTCGCTTGCTTGTGAAGAGTAGGACAGGTAAGCCCAGTCAAGCTTGAAGATCTATTCTGAGGCCCTGAGTGCGCGAGCATAGCCTTGCAGGAGAAGAAGCCAGAAAGCCGTCAGGAGCCACAAGACTGTGCCTTCCAGCTTTCCTGGATGCACAGTCTTGTCCCCTTCCCCTTGTTTTCCGTCTCTGCTGATGGGCTCCCACCCTGCTCTCCCAGAGCCCTGCACCCCCTCTCCAGCCCCAGCTTTGCATGGCTTCCTATGTCCAGAGCAGGTCTGCCTCCTCTACTTTCTAAGAGAAACAGCTTTGAAAAGGAAATAGGCTGGCTTGGTGCGGCCTCTGGCTGGTCCCTTGGGTCTGCTAGCCGTGGGCTGTGGGAGGGTGCAGGGAGTACTCCACAGCAAGGCAGTGAGGGCAGGGCTGGGGGGCTGGAGCTCTGCTCCTCCCATTGGTCTAAACCAGGACCCGGCGGGACGGGGAAATGGGGAGGAGGGTTATTTAGCTGATCCTTACAGGACTTTGGAGGGAAATAAAGACAGAACTGCTTCCCACAAAGCCCAGTACTGAGTGGACGCAGAGGTGGGATCTGAGGTCTCAGTCCAGGTCCCGGACCTTCAGTTTTGCTCAGCACTGTGGGCAGTTAGCGAATCAGGGCCACTGCCCATCAGCACTGGCCCCTTCCTGTGGCCCAGCTGAGGAGGCTCACACACAGGTCATATGTGGGCCCGGGCTGGGATGGGCCCTAGCCGGGCAGCTCTTGACTGTCGACCTCCTCTTACAGGTTCCACTATGCTGCCCGGATCTGGGACGGGGTGAAAAAGTCCTCTGCCCTGGCCGAGTACAGCCGCCTGCTGGCCTGAGATGTAGGGGAGGAGGGTCACGCAGGGAACCTCTCTGGGTCCCCAGTGGATGGCGATGGAGCATGTACATCCTCCCCACCAGCGGGCTGGAGAGTGGCAGCAGCCCTGGTGGGTGAGGGACCGTGACTTCCTCGCCCGGAGACACGAGGTGTTCAGGGCCAGGCCCCCACCCTCAGTGGAGCGTTGTTCAGGGGTGACTTTGAGACCCCACCCCCAACCTGGGACAGGGCAGCCCATCCTCAGTCCCCACAGGGATTGGTGTTGGGAGGGGTCCGACTGGTCACTACGAGGCACAGGCACCATCCATCTTGACCTCCCCCTGCAGGGGCAGGAGCAATGGGCCCCTCTTCCCCGACTCGCAGAGCTTTCCCGTGAGGTGAAGACCAGTCTGGGAGCTCTTTCCGGGGGCAGATCTGGTGGCTCAAATAAAAGCAGTCATGCAAACCTGTTCTCATGCTCTTCCTCCTCCTCTCCTCTCCCCAACCTGCTGTCCTGACAGCGGGGCAAGTTGGGGTCCCCACCTGCGCAGGCAGATTATCCTCTGCCACCCACGGGAGCCTGAGTGAACTTCCCACGGGGACTCATTCAGTATGGGTCCTAGAGTTGTTGGGGCAGATGAAGCCCCCAGGAAGGAGAGCTCTGTGTTCTGGGGTGACGTGAAGCCCCTCTCTGTTGCAGACAGGAAAACATGGCACCCTCTGTCAGCGAAGTAGGGTGGCTGCCCTTGTGTCGTCTGCCCTCGCGTGAAGACAGTGTCTGCCTTTGGCAAAATGCCTGAATACAGTGCCTCGTTGGACACATGGTCAGCCACAGGAAATGTCTCTAGTGAACACAGCTGGGCAAATCTAGTGCTTCCCCAGGGTTGAAGCCGGTCCTACCTTTGTTCGAACGTCAGACCCGACCCTTGTTCATGATGCTGCTCTTACCTAGAAAAATGGTCCCTACCTTTCATTCAAGTCCAGTCCTACCCCCAGGTAAATATATCATACAGTTCAATTAGTAATATCTCTCATCTGCTCAGTTAAATATGTTACCTAAGTTCAGTGGTTCCCAGAATAAGGCTCCGAATTGGCCTGGCCACCCCAAATTAGTCCTGTCAAATCATGCCGCTCCACCCTCCCCTGAGCAGTCGGCTTTAGGCTGTGTGCTGGGTCTCCCCTGTCTCCCACCGCCCTGTGCCACCTCCTCATCTCCCTGGCTCCCACCCGCCCTTGGGCGGGCAGTGGCAGACCCATAGAGTCCTGGTGTCCACGTTATGGGAATTGAGTCTGTCAGGGAAGAAGCACAACCGAGAGGGTGGGGACAGTGAAGGAATCACGAAGGCCTGGCCAGAAGCTGGGAGTCTGCAGATCTCAAGAGCGGGCTGAAGTCTGGGAGGTGTGAGACCCAGAGCAGGCTTTGGCCCAGCGTTCACTGGCAGGACCTTATACAGACACCTCCCTTCGTGGTCCCCACACCCTTCAGAGCTGTGGCATTCCCTGCCCTCTCACAGAAATGCTTCTGCGGCCTTGCCCCGCCGCCCCAGCCTGCACACACACTCCTCATGGCCTTCTCCAGGTAAACAGCTGGGCTCGTGTCAAAAGTATCCGTTCCATGGCCCCTCCCCTCGCTGCATCCCAGGTGGCCGGCTGGCTGCTGTGGTGGGTTGCCAGAGAGGGAAAGGTAAGGATGAAGCCCCGGGAGCACATAAGACCCAGGCACAAAAGCATGACAGCACGGGCTGAGTCCTCGAGAGTAGGGCTTTAATTTTCTCATGCCCCACACCACCAGCCTGGGGACAGACGGGCTGTGTCCTCCCAGCCCTGCACTTCCACCTCCCGCTGGCTGCTGCCAGGGACTGGGATCACTGGTCGGAGCTGTCGAAGGTCTGCATCAGCACACTCTGGGCATCCTTAACCACCGCGTCCAGGGACAAGCGCAGCATCTGGTAAACGGTAGCGAAGGAGATGCCGCAGGTGGCCAGGGTGCTCAGGGCAGGCACACTGAGGAGCTCCTGGGTGAAGGCACTGGCATCCCTGGAGGTCTGGCCCAACAGGTCCACCACCAGCTCCTTGGTGACCTTGGTCTTCAGGCCCTGCACTGTGTCCAGGATTTTGTGCAGGGGCTGGCTTGTCTGCTCAGCCAGCCTCCCTAGGGAGTCCTTGTCCAGGCCAAAGCTGCGGCGGTAGCCTTCCAGGGAGTGGATGAGCCGGTAGAGGTCACATGCCACATCCTTTACTCCAGGCACAGGGCTCGGGTTGATGCCACAGGCCACTGTGGCCACCAGCCAGATGAGCTGCCGAAGCGAGGCCGCCTTCTTCTCCAGGATGGGCTTTGAGATGTTGGGCAGGGCCACCAGGAGCGCATGCCGCTTGTTGCTCTTTACGTCCTTCACCATCGACTCCTCCAGCAGGTGGAAGTCATACTTGTCCAACTCAAACATGGAGAGCAGGAAGACCTTGGGGTCCTCCAGGCCCTCCGCTGCAGGAGACAGGAGCACCGCTCACTGGCTTCCACACCAGGGCGGCCCCCTTGTCCTGGCAGCTGCCTGGGCTCAAGCACTTGCCACAAGTCCGCACAGCCTTTGGCTTAAGAGTGTGGGCCCTGGAGCCAGGCTGCCTGAGCACAGGTAGAGGAGCCTTGCTGCCTACCACCTGTGTGGCCTTGGGCAAGTTACCGAACCCCTCTGGTCTGTAAAATAAGGTGATTGCTGTACCTACTTCCTAGGGATGTGGTGGTGGTGAACTGGTTTCATGAAAATGGTGCCTGGCCCTTGCGGAACCCTCAGTAAATGTCAGGTGCCGCCAGCCGCAGGTGCCAGCGCCTACATGGGCGCGTGGCATCTGTACTGCTTGAACTTGGTGACCCATACACAGGCCGATACACCCCTTTTTTTCCTTAATGCAGGTGATCGGCCTCTGTTGCCTGTGACTGAGAAGTGCCAGCTCTCAAGAAATGTAGTGTAAGGCCTGCCACTGGCTTTTCTGTCTGTGCCACAAGTGCCCGACCTGGGCTTTGACTGCAGAGGCGTCCGTTTCGGAGCGGGCTGCCCTGAAGAAGCTCACGGCTGCCCAGTTGCCTCCTTTCCCCCATAGAGGCTCCTTGGTTGGAGAGCGCTTGACTGATCTCCGTGTCTGACCATTGGGGCTACTTGTTTTCTCTTCCTTCCTGCGTTTCAAAGGGCTGCTCATATGTTTTAAATTTGCCAATAAAGAGTGAGCCCCAGAACCCTAGGCCCCCACCCTCAATCAACCCCAATTAAAGCAGCACCCCAGGCCCTGGCTCTGCGGCCCCAGCCTTGCTGTGTAATTTCCAGGTCCTGTAAGTAATAGACCTGCATCCCTTTACTGTTTCCTGAGGGTGTTGCTGGAGGGCATCACAACACTGAGGGGCCCGTTCGGTCTTGAAGTGTGACCTTCGGTGCCCCGTTTTCCCATTCTGGATCCCAGTGGGAAGGGGAGGGGCAGGCAGTCCCTCTAGAATCCACCCACCCCCACATCCTCGGAGCTGCACCTCACCTTCCAGCCGCCGCAAACAGTCATCCCGGATCTGGCTGAGCACCTGCTCCTTGGAGAAGGTGCTGGGGCGGCGACTGCGCGAGGCAGCCATGTCCACGTCCACCTTGGAGCGGATGAAGTAGAAGCCCTTGCTCTGCTGTAGGACCCCGAGGGCCAGCTGGGCGTGCTTGGCAGTGAAGCTCTCGGAGGTGATGATTATGAAGAAGTCGTAACGGTCCACCAGCATCCGCTGGAGGTATTTTTCAGCCTGGAAGGTGGGCTCACCTATGCCCGGCAGGTCCCAGAGGATGACGTTGGGGTACTTGGGGTGTGGGTACGGTGTGGGCTCCACGGTCATTTCTACCACGCCCGTGCGGGCCGAGCTGGGGTCCTCATCTCCCAGCCCCCGGGTGGCATTGACAAAGGTCGACTTGCCTGAGCCTGTCCCCCCGGTGATGCCGATGTCCAGCCTGACATTCTCCAGCGAGTGAAGTGTGGCCTGCAGCTTGGTGGCCACGGCTGGCAGGCTCCCTGCCTCAAAGGCCTCCCTCAGAGCCCTGGTGTCCTTCACCAGCTCCAATATCTGGGACTGGCTGAGGCCTAACTGGAAGATGTTGCTTGCCATGGACTGCCTGACCCCTGGTCTCCTTCTTCAGGACTCGTTGACCTTTGGCAGGACAGGTAAGGGCGCATTTTCACCCTGAGTTGCCCTCTCTTCTCTCCAGCCCTCAGCAAGCCCAAGGCATTTGTGGCATCACCGGTAATAGTGCTGGTGTAACATTATGCCAGTCCCAGTGCTAAATATTTTAGTTAACCTTTATTCATCGCTGCCAGCCTCTCCTCCTGGAGTTTCTCATAAAATCCTCAAGAGCTGGAAAAGGAGATCTCCTTACTATCCATGCTGGGCAGTGAGGGGAGAGGTCCCTTGCCCAAGGCCTCCAGCTAGTGTGTGGGGGTTGGGGATGGGACTGAGGTCCTCTGATCCTAGAATTCTAATTATTTAAAAAAATTTTATTTATTGAATTTTACAGAGAGAGGGGAAAGGTGAGAGAGAGAGACTGATTTGTTGTTCCACTGACTTATGCATTCATTAGTTGCGTCTTCTGTGTGCCCCGACCAGGGATCGAACCTGCAACCGTGGTGTATTGGGATGGCACTCTAACCAATGGAGCTACCCAGCCAGGGTTAGAATTCCAATTCTTAGATAACTTTTGGGGACATGATCCCACACCAGGCAGGCACTGCAATCAACAATACAGGTCAGTGATGAAGAGCTGGAACCCTCATCATTGTTAATAGTAGTTAGTTTACATGGTGTTCACCCTGGGCCAGCCTCTGGTCTAACCAGGTGCAGCGTTTCATTAAGTCCCCATTTGACAGAGTAGGACACAGGCTCAGGGGGGTAAAAGTCCCTTGCCAAGTGACTGACAGCCTGTACCAGAACCAGGACAAGCACCAGCTCCCTCTGGTGCTTTTTGGTTGGTTTATTTTGTTTTGTTTTGTTTTGTTTTCTCCTGTGTTTCCCTCTGATCATTTTGCCATACAAACACCCCTGATCCTCACACAACTCAGCACCCACTATGTGCCAGGACCTCTTTGGGTGCCACAGTTCCAACACCAGAAAAAGAGACCCAAGGGACCCAGTGCATTTGTGGAAACATTGCCCACCTCACTGCCTGGCTTCTGAGTACCCGTCCTCTCCGCACCCGCAGTGCACACCTGGGCAAGCCCCATCCTGCTCCGGGCCTCGGAGTCCTTGCCCAGGGCGGGCGGGAGCTGCCAGCGCTCACATGTGGAATTGCATGACTGCATCTAGTCCCCGCCATGCCAGGGACTTGCCGGTGACACTGAGCAAGTCATTTGCCCTGTGTAGCCTTTATCTCCTCCACCCATGAGGGGTGGGGTGTTGGCTTCCTCACCTGTGGGATGGAGAGATGACTCCTCAGAGGCCCCCCAGCTCTGCTGTTTCAGGAAGACCCGGAGCTTACGGCTGATGAGGTTCAGGCAGGGGCCAGCTTGGGAGGGCCTTGAGTCATCAGGCTGGGCTTGATCTTTATCTGTGGGTAGCCGTGGACAGGGCTTGAGCAGGGGAGGGGGTGATCTGCTGTGGACATTGGAGTCCTTCTGTGGCCTTACGGGAAATGAGACTACAGCCTGGGAGAGGAGGAACAGAGGGGCTGGGGCAGCAACTGCGGGGAGAGGCGGGGCCCAAGCTGGACCGGGGGCTAAGGGAGTTGAGATGGGGGAATGGAGAGATGGAGGCAGAAGGGCAGGACATGGTGGCTGTTAGAGAGAAAAGTAACCCATTCTAACCCATTCTGTCTCTCCTGACCTCAGGCCCAGAGTGGTGAGGGCCCTCACTCCTCGAGCCCACCTTTCCATCCCTGCGCCTCGGGGCCAGTGAGTCCTGTGTTTAGGGCAATGTCTGAGGGCTCACAGATATGGGGATGTGGGCTGCTCCTTCAAGAATCCATCCCTTCAAGAATGGATTTGGAAAGGACCCGCTGTCTTCTGCATCTGGGGTCTGGGATTTCCCTCCCATAATCCCCTGCACCACTGTTGGTGCAGAAGGGCCCACATAAACCCCAGTTGTCTGACAAAGCCAATGAATGGGGAGGCCTCTGGGAAGAGAGGAATCCCTTCTGCAAAGGGGAGAGCTCTTCAGCTGAGAGGATTGGTACCCCCCTTTAATTGTGCAAGTTGAAGTGAACCCTCTGAATCAGGAACTGTTTCCTAGGGTTCCAGGTAATTTGAGGCCCCCAAATGAGGCAAGAACCATCACCAGATCCTGGAAAACCCACAGGGAGTATTTGTGAGCACCTGGGGGGAGGCCACCTCCCGACCCCAAAGTCCCCATTTTGCCACCGGCCTTGTACACAGCCTCCAGGGCCTTCTGGGACTTGCTGGGAACTCCCCCTTCTGTGCACCTAAATCCAACCCTTGCCTGACCCTTGTCCAAGCCCACAGAAGTCCTGGGGCAACCCGTCCTATCCAGGGCCCCCAGTCCAGTTCTTGGACTTTTTTAAACATGTGTGATCTTTGAATCAGCCGAGGAATTTGGTTTCACTGGGTCACCTGATCCAGACACAGATGTGCACACCCAGTGTGTTGCACATTCTCTGGCACTCAGCCCTGTGAAACTTTCAGATCCCAACACAGTTACCATCACTTTGAGACCCACAGCCTTTCACCACATTCCCAGTACTCACTAGGGGGCGCACATGTGCACCCTTTCTCTTTCGCTCGCGCGCGCTCTCTCTCTCTCTCTCTCTGGCACAAACCATGCAGACAGACAGGTATCTCCAGTCTCAGCAAACTACTCAAAATCAGGAAGACTCACCAGGATTCCTCCCAGTCAGACACACATATTGCCACACACAGTCACACTCAGATACACCCACCATCTTTCTGAAACCATCCTTCTAGGTGGTGGAATTGTGCCCTCTTGCCTCCTCTCCCCCTCGATGCTCAGAGAAACCGCCCACCCACCCTCTCACCACCTCTGCACGAAGGCCCCCCAGGGTCCACGTGGCTCCACTCTGCCGACCACCCAGCCCACCATCACTCACAGGCAGCAGTGCTGGCCCAGGATGTCCCTGTGCCCACCTCTGCTTAACCCAGTTGCTAGGCACCATTGTGCCAATCCTGGGCACCGATTGGCTGCCCCTCCCCCCTCCAAAGGGGGTCTTTGGGACCCTGGGGTTCTCTGGAAGGGATATGCCTTTGCAACTGAAATAAGTACCTGTGCAGGCCCTGATCCTCACTCGGCCACCCACCGCAGGCTGACAGTTGGCTCCTGTCTTGCATCCAGGCGGGGCTGCCCAGTGGCCCCACAATCCCGCTTGGCCACTTAGGGACCAGGGAGAGTGAGATTGCCAAGGAGACCCCAGCCCACCACCCATTCCCAGAACTTCCCGCTTCCCAGGGTCAATTCCTATCCCTGCTCAGTGTACCCCTCTTCCACCTGGGGCCGCCCGCCCGCCTCCCTCAGACCCCTGTGCACCCTGCCCCTCAGCAACAGCTCTGACTTGGGCCTTTCTTTTGTTTGGCTTTATTAAGGCTTGGTTTGTGGATGAGGCGGGGAGGGTGGGAGCTGCACTTTTACTTCTCTTCCAAGTCGCGCTTCTTCCAGTTTTCGAGGATGTACTTGAGCAGGAGGCCAAGCTTCCGGCGGATGGAGATCGGGGCTTCCTCGCCACCTCCCTCCCCAGATCCATGGTTTTCCACGCGGTTGTCACCAGCCGCTTCCAAGCTGACCTCGGGCTGGGACTCATCCTCCTCCAGGGCCTTGATGCGGACCCGCTGGGCGTCCTCCGCCATCTCATTGAGGCAGCCCTGGAGCATGGTGTAGACCGTGCCGAAGCTGATGCCGCCGGCCACCAGCGTACCGAACACGGGGATGCCCTTCTCGAAGGCCCGGGCCACCCGCATGGCGCCGTTGGATGACTGCGAGTAGAGCCGCAGGACAGCCTCGGGAGACACCTCGTTGGCCAGCGGGGAGCGGATGACGGAGCGCAGGTCGCCGGCCTGTTTGCCCACCTGCTCCGCCAGCCTGGCCAGCGAGTCGTCGTCCAGGCCGAAGCTGCGGTGGTAGCCGCGCAGCGAGCGGATGAGCAGGGCGTCGTCGTAGGCGGCCGCCAGCCCCGGCACCGGCAGGGCCTGGATGATGCCCGACACCAGGGCCGTCTTGAGCACTTGCTCCTGGAGCATGTCCTTCTTCTTCTGCACGGCCTCCAGCGAGATGTCGGGCAGCGACAGCAGGCCGGCGTGGCGCCGGTGGGCTGGCAGGTCGTGCTCCCAGGTGGACAGGAGCAGCGGGAAGTCGTAGAGCACCGGCCTGAGGTTGGACACGAGGAAGATGCGGGGCTCGGCCACACCAGCCGCGCGCAGCTGCTCGGCGCAGTGGTCGCGGATCTCCTGCAGCACCGCGGCCTCGCTGAAGCAGGAGGGCCGCTGCGTGCGCGTGGCCGCCAGGTCCTCATCCACCTTGGTGCGCACGAAGTAGAACTTCTTGCCCTGGCGCAGGATCTCGGAGGCCAGGCGCGTCTCCACCGCCCCGCAGCGGCGGGCGGAGACCAGCAGGAAGAAGTCGTAGTGGCCGAAGTCCACCTGCTTCAGGTACTTGTCGGCGGAGCAGGCCGGAGAGCCGGCCCCGGGCAGGTCCCACAGGGTCACGTCGGGAAACTGTGGGTGTGGGTAGGACGAGGGGTGCATCGTGGTCTCCACCACGCCGGTGAGAGCCGCACCGGGGTCCTCGGCCCCCAGGCCGCGGAGGGCGTTGATGAGCGACGACTTGCCAGCGCCTGACTCGCCGGTGACACCCACCTCCAGGCGGGTGCTCTCGGAGGAGGCCAGCAGCTCCCGGAGGCGGGAGGCAGCCTGGGGGATGTCACCGGACTCGAAGGCGGTGCGCAGGGCCTCCAGCTCTTCTTTAGCCATGAGGATGGTGGTCTCCTCCTCCCCGGGACACTTCGAAGTGGCCATGGCTCAGGGGTGCCGTGGGCTGGGAGCGACAGGACCAGGGGTCCTGGTGTCTGGGGGCAGAGAAGGGAGCCTTTCACGTCTCCTGGGCCTGGCGTGGAGCAGGAGACACCAGGGACAGGAAGGCAGTCCCTGCTCTGGCATCCCACAGCCCTCCCCTTCTCAAACATCCCTGGGGGACATCGTGGACATGAATTAGGGGGCTTTGGAGTCTGTCAGGCCCAGGTCTACATCGCATCTCTGCCACTAACTTGCTGTGTGACCTGGGGCAAAAGTAGGCCCCTCTCTGAGCCTATTTGCTGCTCTGGGTAGCTGGCATGATGACTGACCTGCCTGCAGTGGCACTGAGGAGTCCCTGGGGTAATCTAGGAACAGGGCGGTTTTTCGGGCAGCTGTGACCTGGGCAGCCACATAAGGCCCAACTCCCGGCTTAATGCTTATCTGCAGGCAGATAACTGCCTGATTGAAATTCTTCATCATATTTGAACCAGGGCCCTGTATTTGTCTTTTGTGCTGGGCCCACAAATGATGTGGCCAGGCCTGCCGAGGGGAGGGGCTGACGCCCAGCTCCTAGGCGCAGTCGAGGACGGTGGCTGTGCTTCCGCCACCACGATCACTGCGCACAAGCAGCGTGACGTGAAGGCGAAGGACACCCACACCCTGGGATCGATTCCCGGCTCTGCCACAGAGTTGCTGAGGATTCGGGGCAAGCTACCTCCCCTCCACCTCATGTTTCTCATCTGTAAGATGAGGATAACCACAATCACAGAAAACCACCTTCTCGGGCTGTTGAGAATTCAGTGCGTTAGTACACAGGAAGCATTTCAAATGGGGGCTGGCACAGAGTAGGTGGTCTGTGTCATTTGTTAGCGTCATCATTGTTATTGCTGTCATAGTTAACGCTTCTAGCTGTGCGACTTTGCGGGTCCCTCCCTCCCGAGCTTCGGCTGCCTGATCTGCACGTGGGAAGGAACCCCGCCTGCCTCGCAGGGCCACTGTGATGCTGGCTGGCGAGCCCCTGTGTTGTCTGTCCTTAGGCTAACTTTGAGGACAGTCATGGGCTGGGCTGGTGGAAGAAGCCCGGATGGGGAAGGGCCCAGACACCGGGGAGCCTCCTCATTGGACACCCAGCCCTGCCGGGGGCGGCCTCACCAGGCCCCATCCCCTCCCACACCCTGGAGCCAAGTGGGGCCTCTCCTCAGACTCCATCCTCCTCACCTGGGAGCTTCCCTGGCCCTCCCTCTTCCCAGTCACACTCTCTTCTGGTCCATTGCCTCTAAAACACACTCCTCACTGACTAAGACTCTTCAGACAACCTTGGGAGAGACAACCACGTCCAGGGTCACTGTCCCCGTCAATGGAGAGGGACTGGGGCTCAGACCACACAAGTGATGTCTCTGCTCAGAGCCACCACCAGGACTCACACCCAGGTCCCTGGCTCCCTCGCCCTCTGAAGAGCTGCTCTACCTTCAGGCACATGTCTCTGCCCCGCCTTGTCTCCTTGACTGCCCTGTCCCCACCTCCACCCTCAACCCCACAGAAACTTGTCCTTATGACATTGTCCCCTCAGGTCTGCCCCCCATCCCTGGTCAGGCCATTTCCCCCATGCTGTGTCCATGTCCACCCCCACCCTGTCCCCCTCCCACATCTCAGGGAACGGAGGCTGGGAGCCTCAGACAGGTCCAGGCAGCAAGGGGCAGACAGGTCCACGGCCCTTGGGGGGAGGTAGGGCCGAGGGAGCTGGGTTGGGAGTGGAAGCCGCACCCCCACCCACAGGCCCCAGCTGGAGACCCTGCCTTCGGGATGCTCACCTGCCCTGTAGGCTCTCCCTCTCCCCTCACACTCTCCCCGCTGGGGGGGTCTCCTGCCCTGTTAGCCCCGGGCCAGACCTGTTGCTAGGACCCGTGGTGGCAAGTGGCAGCTTATTGGTCAACCAGCCCTTGTGCAATAATGTGACAGTGATGTCAGGGGGTGGGGTTGCACTGGTGGGGGTCCCACCCCCAGCTGCTCATGGGGCTGCCAGTCAGTCATATTGGGCCCTCCGTCCCCCACAAAGGACCCAGAGGGAGATCTTTCTATCTCCGAACGAGACTTGTTGAGATCCCATCCGCAGTCTCTATCACGCCCCAGACGCAGACCCAGTGTCTGAGGGCCTGGCCCTCCTCACCATGCACCCAACTCTCCTCCAACTAGGCACTCTGTTTGCCAAACAAGTCATTCATTTTCCCTTCTCGGCACCATCTCCTCACCTACCCACCTGCGGAGAGGGTGGTGATTTAGCATCACCAGCTCTACCAGGACGACAGGAAGTGCTGGGGAAAGGCCAGCTCTGAAACCACACCGAGGTCACTGCCAGCAGTGCTGCCTGGCCCTGGCCAGCACTCGGCTTCCACACCCAACCCAGCATCCACCCTCCAGTTCAGCATCTGGTGTCCAGACTCCCTGACTCTGGCCTCCTCCCTCCCTCTCCTACCGCCCCCCCCCACCCCTGCCTGTCCTTCAACACCCAGCTCAGGGTCTGGCTCTTCACAACGGCTTTCTCTCTTCTGCTCTCCCCTCCTCTGCTTCCTCGTAACCATTTAAATGGCATCAGTATGACAAAGAGGGAGATAGAAGTAGCGAGAGATGTGAGTGAGAAAAGGGGGAGGCAAAGGCCCTCTGAGAAAGGGGGAGGTGAGGTGGGGAAAGAGATTCCTTAAGGAAAAAAAACACAGGGGAGTCAGGCAGGAAGACACAATGGATGAGAGTCCGAGTCAGGAAAGAAAAAAAAAACAAAAAAAAACAAAAAACAGGGAAAGATGGCGTCACAGACGCCAGCTACAGAAAGAGTGAAAAGCTACACAGCCTGAGACAGGATCAGGGGTTGGGGACCATGACACGCACAGGGAAGGAGCTAAAGGTCTAGAGCCCCAGACTCAGGAGCCTCAGGCTGCTGAGGGACACTGGCTCCCCCCCGCAATGCAGCTGCTCTCTCTACAGCTGCCAAGCCTCCCCCAGAACCTGCAGTACTTTGGAGCCATCTCCACACGGTTCCCCCTCCTGGCCTCCTCTTTGCCCAAGCCAGGCACTTGGGGATCCCTCCTACCCCCACACCCTGGGATACAGCCAGAGGTACCCGCTAGTCAAAGGATTTCCTGAATCCAAAGTTAGGTGCAGCAAAGAAGCCTCTGACAACAACAGAGGAGAAGGTGGAGACCCAGAAAGAGAACAGACCAGCTCAAGGCCATGCCAGGCATTGCAGCACCGCGGTCTGCCGAGCACGGAGCCCAGAATTCACAAACCACGAAGACGGGAGTGCAGGCCAGTGGCCCAGACTCTTTCATGTTCTTGCAGATGGACACAAATGCACAGAGGCCAGATTTCAAAATATTCTCAGACATTCCCAGACACCAAACACTCAGACCAAGACTCCTCCCCCAAATTCACAGACACGAACACCTGGCCCAGGACGGAAGACCCTCAAATACGGACTCATTACAGGAAAGCAAGTCTGACACACACACACACACACACACACACACACACACACACACCTCACAAACCACACACACTTGGGCAGAGACAGACTTGCAGAGCAGGAGAGACTCGATGACACGCCTCTGGAAACCACCGCATTCATTCATGACCCCCATTCATTCTGCTCCAGGTCCCGGGCCACTTCCTCCAGCTCCTGGAGAGCCAGCCAGGAAGGGGCTGCACCTGTGCCCATCTGCCAAGCCTCCTCCTCCCTCTTCATTCATCATTCAGCGCCTTCACAGGCCGTGTCCTGGGCTGGGTGCTGGGCATGCCACAATGACCAGAACAGCCTGGGGCTCTGCCCTGCCTGGACTGAGAAGTCTCCAGGCAGTGAGGACCCAGAGCAAGAAGAACTGGAATGGGGAATCCCAGAGGACTGTGAGAATGCAAAAGTGGCACCTGACCCACCCTGGGGATCAGGGAGGGCTTCTTGGAGGAGAGGGCACCTGAGCTGAGATCTGAAGGACGAGAAGCAGTGAGCCTCCTGGCCTGCTAGGGAGTTGCCTCCCAGGCTAGAGATCCAGCCTGTGCAAAGACCCTGAGCTGAGAAAGTTCTCACTTGCCCAGTAATTTACTCAATTATTTGGTAGTTCCAGAAACATGTGTTTAGACCTGACCTTAGGCAAGTCCCTGTACTGGTCCTGAGATGTGTCCCTGCTCTTACAGACCTCACGGGCTGGTGGGGCGGCTGATGTGATCACTGACAGAGGCAGAGGGTTCACTTACCTCGCATTCACGGTGCGTCAGGTGCTGCGTGAGCCCATCGGATGGGTGGAGCGACTCATTTAATGGGGACAAAATGCTGCTCTTCCGAGTGTCACCCTGACATAAAACCCAGGAGCTGAGGCTGGAATAGAAAGGAAGGCAGAGACAACTGAGATGAACACGTTTATTCATCCATTTCTCCCGCTAGTTCCCTGCGTAATCAAACCAGAGGGGCCTCCTGTTGTCAGATGGATGCATCGGTGTAGGTCCCACTAACCAGGGAAAGCATGCTGCCAATAGCACCGTGACCACTGTGTCCTTATCACTTAAAAGTTTTATTTCACACTCATTGAAAACACAGCTTTGCCCTGACCACTCTGGCTCAGTTGTCTGGGTGTCGTCCTGCACATTGAAGGGTCACCATTTCAATTTCCCATCAGGAGCTGCAGGTTCATCCCCAGTTAGGACTTGTGACAAGAGGCAACCAATCGATGTTTTTCTCTCACATTGATGTTTCTCTCCCTCTCTTTCTCCCTCCCTTCCCCTCTCTCTAAAATAATGAATTAATTAGTTAATTATTTTTTTAAAAAAGAAAGAGAATACCGATTTTTATCATATACCACACACGTGTGTGTCTCTAACTAGGAAAATACAAGGGAAATGCATTGGCTAAGCTGTTCCTGAGGCCACGCGGAGTGTGACCTCGGTGTCCTCACAGCCTCCATGCTTTCCCACGCTGTTCCCCTGCCATTGGGAACGGCCACCATGCAGTTATTGAGTGAGTGGGTGACTGTTTTGTTTTTAAAAGCTGCTCCAGTCTACGGCCATACCACCCTGAATGTGCCGATCGCCTCCAAGAGCTGCTCCGCTATTGCATCCAGGCAGCTGGTCACAACCACTGCCGGCTGACGGTGACCCTTCCTGATTTCAGAACGGCCAGGATGTGGGAAAGTGCACCTTAGAATCAAGGAAGGTGTTTCCCGAGCGTCCACCCTGCGTCCACCCTGTGTCCACCTGCCGGGCTGGGAGCCTCTTGGGGATGGAGACAGGCCTCCCCTCCAGGAAGGAAGCTGCTGTAATGGGCAGACGGTGAGCCAAGGGCCCGACGGTTGATGTTTGCAAAAGTGACTGGAAGTGACCCTGAGTCCTCACTCGTCCCCTGGCAGTGACAACCCACAGCAGGTGAGGCAGGGGTGGAGTTGCCCAGAGGAGATGCCTGACCCAGCACAGGGAGTGGAGTCAGCAAAGGCTTTTGGAGAATCTCCACGCCTTCGACACACTTTCTGACCACTTGCATGTGCTGGGCCCCGTGCTGGCTGAGGCTGGAGGTATAGCTGGGAACAAGATGGTCCCCTCCCCTGCCTCCTTTCTTCCTCCTGTTCCTCCTGCCCACTCCTAATCCTCCCTTCCTCCCTGTCCTCTCTTTCAGTGTCTAATAAAAATCCTAAAACCTGTCCCGAGGAATATCTCCACATTTTGGCCTTCACCTCCTCTCCATTCACCATAATGCTGGGGAATCCTGAAGTCAGTCCCCAGGATCCACTCATTGATTCCTTGAACTTGGAGTGTTGGCTGCCTTCTGTGTGCTGGGCACAGACACAGCAACGAGTAAGACACAGATGGCCCTTGTCCTCATAGAGCTTATATTTTTGAAAGATAAAGATAGTAAACAAAAACAAGATAGTGTCAAATAGCAATAAGAAAAAAGAAAAACAAGATAACAAGTGATAGGACAAAAGCCACTTTCTCAGGCCCCGTCTCCCAGAGCTGGCTGGACCCCACAAAGCATGACTGACCCAAATTGTTTTATGAGCCTTAACCTGAGGACTAAAAAGTTACTGGGAGTGCCCTGAGGGTACAGAGGCTCTAGGAACCCCAACGACCACTGACCTTGAACCCAAAGATAACATCAAAACACACTACAGCCCAGCTGAATCATCCTGCCTACAGCCTCCCCTTCACCCGATAAAAACTCAAAGCACTAACCCCTCAGGGCTGGTGCTGGTGCTGGTGATAGTCCAGCTGCACATCTTCACACCAAGCCCTTTCCCTCTCTTAGGAAAACAAAAATAAAAAACTTTACTCTCTGCAATTTCTTTTCTTTGTGAATCCTTTCCCAGCCTGCATCACCTGCCTCCCTGACAACAAGGGTAAGGGATGGGGGTGGGGCGTGTAGATTGCCTACAGCTATGGCCACTGACAATTTCTCCCATCTCTGTAGGCACAGGACACTTCCTGTCAAGAGGGGAAATCTCTGTCCATTTCCCTTGAATTGGAGCTGGCCTTGTGGCTTGCTTTGACCAGCAGAATGTAGCAGAAGTGACATTCTGGAACTTTCAAGCCCAGGCCTTGAGAGGTGGCAGCTTCTGCTTTCTCCTTCTCAGAGCCTCACGCTACCACGTAGAGGTCCCGCTGCCCTGTGGAGAGTCCCTGTGGAGAGGCAGAGGCCATGTGGAGATGAGCCTGAGTCATCTAGAACATGCAGCTCCAGCAGCGCTCCAGCTGGATGCAGCCACACAGTGACCAGAGCCAATGCTACTTGGGGGGTAGAAGAACCACCCAGTGGAGCCCAACCAACCCACAGGTTTTCAAGAAATAAAAAATCATTATTTTAGGTCAGATGACTTGGAAGAGGGAGTGTATTGTTTTTGACAGAATGTTCTGGGAAGATCCATAAGAGAAAGTGACTTTCTATTTGAGCACAGGTCTGAAAGAAGTAAGGAAACCAGCCATTGGACATCGGGGGGAAGAGCATTCCAGGCAGACGGCATGGAAGTGCAAAGGTCCTGGGGCAGAGCTGAGCCTGGTGTGTCTGGGGAGCATCATGGTGGCTGGGGCAGCTGGAGCAGAGTGAGGAGGGAGCACGTTCTGGGAGGATTTATTCAGCCGTTACCTGGGAGGGAACCAAGGCTGTTGGAGAAGTGCCGTGAGAGTGGGCCAGGAGCTGGGAGGCGACACTTCGGCACTCAGTGATGAGGTTTGATCAGGACGAGGGCCAGGACTGGGGTCGACAGGCAAGACGCTGCCTTGGGTGCAAACTTAAAGGGGCCAAAACACTTAACTATCAATATAAATGATATTTTAATGTAACACTTTTTAAAATTTTATTTAGTTTTAGTTTTACAGAGAGGGGAAGGAAAGGAGAGAGGGAGAGGGAGAGAAACACCAATGTGTGGCTGTGTCTCACACATCCCCTACTGGGGATCTGACCCACAACCCAGGCATGTGCCCTGACTCGAACCAGCAACCTTTTGGTTCACAGGCCCGCGCTCAATCCACTGAGCTATACCAGCCAGGGCATTAATATAACACTTTTTAAAAATAAAAATTAATGCAAAAATCTCTGATAGTTCAATGAACGTAATATCAAAATTTTAAATGAAGACCAGGACTGTGACAAGACGTGCTGATGCCTGGCTTTGACGGAAACAGACTTACTGATAATAATTTCAGTCAGGAGGATCTTCATGCCCCATAGTTTCTCTTGACCAAATGATGATGTTAAATAATTTTAAGTTAACGTATGCCAAAGTAAAATGATAATAAATTCTGTTTCGATATAAATAAAATATTTTAACTCAAATCGTTTTAATACCTTAGATAACTTCTCAATATTTTTTTCAGCTACTCTAGGATTTTGGAGAAAGCAGGCATTACAAAAATAGGTAACCACATGTATACAGGGCCTTTTGCCTCAGGCTCCCGTGTGGCTCAGCACAGCACTGGTCAGAATGTCAAGCTGCTGCCTGCAAAGGGCCAGACGCACAGAACAGGGCTATTTCCTGAAGGGAGAAGGCAGCGGGGGAGGCTGGGAAGTCAGGCTGGGCCTGCAGAGAGAAACAGGTGCCCCCCACCAGAAGGTCGGGCTCAGGATGAAGAACCTGGGGGACCAATCTGGCATCACTTCTCAATGAATTAAGCGCACTCTTCCTTCAACCCAGCACCCTCCCTGCTGAGAACCTATGAAGGATGGAAGCAATTGCATTGACGTCTTCTTGGAGTCTCCAGGGGAAAGGGGACATCCAGGGACCCTCGCCTGAGTAGAGATGACATGGGGGTAGGGGGAGATGCTCTTTGAACCCTGACTCACCATTTCTCACTTCTAATTTATAAGTGTCACTTGTGATCCCATTTCATTATACAGTTTAGAATTTTCTTTAAAGGCGTGACAGGGCACCATCCACCAAGCTCCTGGAGTGTATTGGAAACATTTGAAGACATGCAGCACCTAATAAGGAACAAACATTGCTGTCATCGGGGAGCTTACTGCTGACTCGCTCGCAGTGGGAGGGGGAGGAAGCAAACAACGGGAATCCCCTCAGCAGGGTCACGAGGGAATAAACGTTGGTACATCCATGCCACATGCCACAGGCACCTCAGCCTCACACGCAGCCTTCAAAAGTGGTGAATCAAAGGGCCCGGAGGGTTTCCATGAGGTGCTGGTGAGGAAAGCAAGATGCAGAGATGGCTAATTCCTTATGTCTACTTTTTTAAAAGATTTTATTTATTTATTTTTAAAGAGAGAGGAAGGGAGGGAGAAAGAGAAGGAGAGAAGCATCAATGTGTG